CGACCATGACTGGTACCGACGACTTGGTTACAAGGTAGTTACTGAACGATCCGAGAAGAACACTGCCGTAGTTAGAAATTGCGGAGGGGTATTTGTCAAGATCAACTCACCCTTTCAACGCGTTGCGGCCTCGCGACCCCAGGATCACCAGGGTAGGTTCCAGGAAGTCAATCTGTCCAGCACCTGTCAGCAAACCGCTCGCTTACGAGATGCCAAATCGAAAACTTACCACTTCAGTGATCATGTGCTTAGGGCTCTTGCAGTGAAACACTTCAACGACGGCACGCACTTGCAGCCGGGTCTTCCTTAGCAGCTTGACGCACCGGTCCGACACCTCTACGCATGCCTGGTACCTGTCTTTCTCCGCCTTTCCCATGTTTTTCACGTTGGCCTCGGTAGCCATTATGGAGCTGGATAGCGCGGAGAAGCCAGGTCTTGTGGCTGGCAACCCGTCATGGTTCGACAGCGTCCGTTTGAGATGATCAGATTCCTGCCGTCCGGTAGTACCTTGACTGATAGGTGCACCTGAAGCATCCGTGGTTGCGACTCCAGTTTCCTCATCGACGGCATAGACGGCGAGTAGAGTGTCGCCATCTCGCAAAACGGTGCCGATGGTCCACTCCAAAGCATAGGCTGCTTCGTCACTTAGATCAGTAGACACGAGATACACACGCTGTCTTCTCAATCCGTTCTTCGCGTCTTCAGCAAACTGAACGTAGTCGCCCCGGATTATTTGTCGAACACAGCGGTGGGCCTCTGGGCTGGATTGGATAGGTGAGATGTTCAGCGAAAGCTGCTGGGCTGATTTGATCTCGGCAAGCTCATCCTCGTGGTCTGAATGGACTGGGGTCGAAAGACCAGACCCGCCCTGGTCAAAACTGGTATGGGGATGTACCACTCCCGACGAACCCTTCCTCGATATCCTCTCCCCGTTGGGACCAGTAATGTTTATGTTGGGGTCTAGTAATGATCGTACTTTGTAGGAAACGGCGACATCTCGCCCTGTGTGGAGTTAATGAGATGTACAAGTCAATATACGTAGGTTGCAATGCTTACGCTCTTGCTCGGCGGCAGCCAGCAAACTCTTAGCAGTGATGACTTCTCTGCCCATGCTGTCGGTGCCTCCAGATGACTTCCTCGACCGCTGCCTGCCTCGTTTTCTCTCCTTGGTTTTGTTCCATCCGTCTTCCCAGTCTGAGCTATCCGAGGCATTGTCACTACTCTCGACAGCAGCACTATCTTCGCCGTCGTCGTCTGTCGCAAGGCGCACGCCCCCACCGGGCGCGGTAGCCGTGCCCTTGACAGGATCAACACCCTTGCGATTCGGTAGTGAGGACAATCCGCCCTCAGATTGTGCCAAAGCAGAGTCGTTCAATTTGCGATATGCCTTGTCCATGTCAATGCGCTTGCCCGAGTCTGTGACGAAGGTATTGTTCGATGTTGGTGCGGCCGGCGTCGGGTTTGCCATGCGCGTTACTGGGGAGGCAGATCGGCCTGGCCCCGGAGAGCCAGACTTGGATCTGCCCAAGGGCCCACTCGCGGAGTTGTGCCTATCCCTGGAATTTCCTAGGAAGCCGCTGGAGTTGCCATAGACGGAGGACATGGCACGCGGCTTCGCAGCGGCATCCAGCTTGCCACCCTGCGAGACTCGCTTAGGCATGGCATGTGCGTCGATGGAGGGCAGCATTTCGAACTTGTACGCCGATTCGGGGTTCACGCGACGCGGTGACGAGGGCATGGCGAAGGGGATGCCAGTGCTGCCGCGGCTGGAGCTCCTACGCTGGGCCGGCGAGTCGACGTCCAGCATGCTGCGAATGGGCGAGGCAGCGGAGCCAGGACTTTGCGCGCGCGCGGCTGGGCTCTCTGCGCGTCGTGCGCCGGGCTTTTGGTTGCCTTCGAGAATCTTGACGACCTCTCTCATTTCTTCGTCAATAGCAGCTTCGAGTGACGCCATGGTGGCGGTGTGCAACTGGACGAGAAGACACGGAGTCGCGTGTGGAGTGCGGGCTGTGGAGTTTGTGGAGTAAGTGAGTGAGGCTGGCGGCTGGTCGAAGTGGAAGTTTGATAGTAGAACGCGGTCGTGCTCGCGGGGTAGCAGAAGTGATTAAGGTATCAATTGGCGTCGCGCTATGGCATCATAGGCGGTGCTGTGTGCTGTCGGGTGAAGGGGCTACAAATAGCAGCGATGCAATCCCGAGCGCAGTCGTCTGGAAAGATGTGGGGTGAGCGCGTGATGGGATGGACTAATAGCAGCGGTGGGGTAGCAATTCCAAAGACTGTAGCAGCTGGCAGTAGCTGAAAGCGATGGCGGGCCGAACCGTAGTATACAGAGTAGCTAACCGCTGTCGGAGAACAAGTTGTTCCCTAGCAGGTTGATGGAGGCGGACGACATGTGGAAGTCAAAGCGCGAGCAGCAGGCGATGAAGCTATGCACGAACAGTCAGCGCGCGTCGATGCTCGCGGGTGCTCTTGGTCCAGGCGGTGCGAAGTGGGCATGAAACCCCTCAACATCTGGCGGTTTGGCAGCGCTTGGCAGGCGAAGATCACCAGAGACTGCCACGCCGCTGACGCAGGGACGAGTGGCTACTTTGACATGAATAGGCAGCAACGCGTAGATATTGAAAGCCTTTGCGATAGGTTCTTCTTACTCTCGGTTTATCAAGGCGCATGGATATCTGAGCACTTCAACAGCAGCGCGCATCTTTCATATGATGCTTGGCGATTAGTGAAGCAGCCCGGGGTGTGGCTGTGCTGTGTTGGCAGTCGCTCCATCCATGGATACTCATGTGGAGCTTCCTGCGGTCTAGCCAAAAGAACAATGAAAGTTACCGCATCATTCCCGAGTCAACCGACGTAAAGCGAAAAAAAGACGCATATGGGTGCAGCAATGGCATCGATAAATATATTATACACAGACGCTCCCTAACTAACAGCATCTACCTCTTCCTGGGCAGCACAATATTAGCTCGTGCAGCAACACCAAGCTTGTGAATAGCATTGCGCCTGTCCCAGATGCCGCTCGTGCCCTGTACTACAGCAATGAGCTCCTGCGCAATACGCTGGGCAAAGCTGCCTTTTCCACTGCCCATATTCCTCCGCTTAGAAGCTGCGGCCAGGATCCACTGGATAGCAGAACGTCGCCGTTGCCTTTGACCCAGCGGAACGGGGATCTGAAGGGCAACACCACCTCCAGCAGCGCCACGCTGACTTCGTATGCGCATCAGAGGCGAGACAGAATCAATGGCGAGAGTAAGGTAAAGCACAGGGTTGAGGGGTAGATGCGATGGTGGCGGCGCACCAGGAAGCAGAGGTCGTGCTGGGTTAATGGTGGGAACGGGTGATGTCCGAAGGTGTTGCAGGATCAGCGCCATGTTCTGCAAGTCATGTCAGTTGTTTGTAGACTCTGATTCGAGGGTGGCTGACCTACTCGCTCCGCAACGCTCTTCTTGCCGTGTCGCATGAGCAGATTGGTGACCTGGTCGACTACGGGGTCGTGGCGATGCTTGACATGGCCGTCCTTGGGCAGCGGCAGAGTGGGCATCTCATACTTGAGCCCTGGCGTCGTGGGCGCTTTTGAAGCAGCCTGGAAGTCTACAAGACCCATGTCCACGCCGCTGTTTCCACTTGGCTGTGTCGTCATAGTCGAATAGGACCGCGAGCCCTTTGGTGCCATGTTCGGTGTCGTCTTGGGCTTTTGCGAGTTGAGCTTGTCTTGCATCACCTTGGGCAGGTTCTGTTGCGCCTCTTTGTCTCCCTTGACTACCTAGCACACTGTCAGCTTTCGCCTTGTCATGTTTGCTGTGCATGACCCCACATCTTCAATTGGTGTGCCCTGGTTGAGGTCGGGACCGTCCTCTCCCATTGTCTTGGCCATCGAGGCTGCTTCTTCCGAGACATGTTCAATCGGCTTTGCGTCCTCTCGCTTCGATCGGTCGGCGGCGGGAGGCTTGGTTTGATCCGAGTAGAGGCGGCATTGCGACGGCGCCATTCGAAGCGCCGACCGAGCAGGCCATTGAGCCTGAGGCCTTGGCCGGAACGCGATCGAGCGCGTGATCGCGGGGACGTTTAATCGTGGCGGCATTGTGTTGTGTTGTGGAGTCGGCTTGGTGATGTTCTTGCAAAGTGACGCCGAATATTCAAGCCGATGTCGCGCTACAGCGTCCGTGCGCAGTTTGCCTTTACCCCAGATCAAACCAACGTGTTCGGCAAATCACCACCATGATCTGATATTGCCAGGTCCAAGATGCTACATGTGCGCCTTCGCTCAAGATGTACCCCGAAGGCCTTCAAAATATTACATGCTGCAAAACTACGATACACGATGCAGCGTATACCTCCACAGTGCAGGTTGGATTGCGACTCCCGCAGAACGATCTGATTCGTAGGGAGCGTTATACATGGCAGAACGGAACCGGCGAGACGGACGCCCATGGCCGTTTACCGTTGGGCATTGAGTTGAGCCTGCCGCATCCAGGTGTCGAAAGGTTCTAGTCGCCCGTCAGTCCATTGCTCTTGTAGCAGTCACGGTCTCATAACAAGCATCCTACGCTTTCTCTCTTCCCTATCTCTCAATCAATCAGTTGTATCAAACCGCTCCATCAGCCTCAGCTTTCACTCAACTAACACAAGATGACCGGACGCGGACGCGGACGTGGCGGCATGGCCTCTCGTGAGCCAGCCAAGGTGTTCGGGTAAGCTTCAATATCACGGTAGTTGATATGCATGTACAAAATTATTTCTTCATCGGCATCTACACCTCTGTAGTCGCCACGCATAAATGAGAATCAGTCAAAATACAGAAATCAAGCCAACACAAACGCAGCAATAGCCAGTTCCCGCAGCCCAATGCCCAAGTCACCAAGTCCGAGGACGATATGGTCAGAAGAGGCGGTTAATCGAACTTCTTTTCAGTATGCCGCCTTTCTCAGCAGCCAATATTGCCACCGACTGGATCAAGAAGCTTGTGTCTCTAGCCAAGTCGGAACTCGACAAGGAATGCAATGCCGTATGGTATCCCAATGGCGGTGACCCCTTTCCTCCGCCCATACACAATGACGACGCCGGACTGGCCAATGCTCGTCCAGGAACACGTACCAGATCACCGTTGAAGGAGTTGGCACTGTATGAGCAAGCAGGTCTCGAACTTCTTGAACAAAGTCAAGGTGGAGACGAATCACACCAAAGACCACAACAGCCGCAACAAGGAGAACAAGGGAACCAAACGCAAGGTGCACACCATCATCACATTTTTGAACTATAGAAAAAACAGTACAAACGTCACGTTTTGGAAGGTCGTCAATAGGAAAATTACCTACCCGACCGTTCGAGCGCACTTCTGGCAGGACTCTGGTATCAAGCTTGATTTTCCGCAAGCACCGTTAGTCGACTATGGCAATGCCGATGGGCCAATCTGGCTACCCGCTGAACTGGCCAAAGTCATTCCTGGATAGCTGGTCCGCCGTCTCCTTGCTCCGCTGCAGACGGCCGCCATGATCAAATCTGCTGCTCGCAGCCCTGTAGAAATTATCAAATCGCCCCAGGCTGTCATAAAGTTACCTAGATATACGTGGGAAATAGTACAAGTCGATGTATGCACCTTGCACCTGTGAGATGGCATTGCTTTTGTCCCCACTTGTCCGTCCATGCCATCTAGAACTGGCGACAGGTTTGTTTCTTGCTTGACTGCACTCTTCCTTTGCATTGATCGTCGGACATTGCTCATTGGTCACTGCCACCTTAGATGGAGCTAGTACCCAGTATGGTGCATATCATGTAAGTCAGTCGCTCGCCCCCGTCCCGCAGTGTTGCTCCACAGCGACGGCAGCCAATCGGAGGGCGACAACTCCGCAATGTGCACCCTCCGCGATGAGTGATGTTGGACTCTACTCGAAAGCTTGAGGACGCAAAGACCAAGGGCTTGCTGCTTAATGTTATCGTCACCACTCGGACGGGCATGGTGGGCTGCAAGGGTACGGAATGCGTGCTGCAGGGCGTCACGGGGTCGCGGTCGCGCTTTCCCCGCACTAGCCCGGATGGACCACAGCCAATCAAGACTCAGCTCCCAGCCACTCCGTTTCACCCCACTGCAGCCCTGGACAGCACACGGGCGATTAGATGCGCTCGCATAGGCGGGCTAGCTTATCGGCGGTATACGGGGACTCTCTGTGGGCTCCTCCACCATGATCGCATTCCCTCTCGACTCTGTCTTGACCAAAGCGCTAGGCACCCACCACCTGCACCGTTCCTGCCTCGATTCACGCGTCACAAGGGTACTCCCATGTGCCCGCCAGAGCCTCGACACGCCCGTAGTACCGCATAGCTGAGACCGCGAACCAGCCTTCCCATTCCGCCCATTCCTCCATTCCTCCGCCACCAGCGACTGCGCGCAAACCATGATGGACACAACCGATCGCGGGAGCTTATACGAGCACGACATCCCGTCGCTGAGCGCGTCGCTCGAAGCCTTCGACCCGGAGCGCAGCATGCACTCGGCCTACAGCGGGCGCTCCAATATGCATTCGTCGCGCTGGAGCGTGCCCCAGGACGAGGCAGACAGTGAAACTGAGTCGGACGGGCCGTGGGCGCCACCAGCATGGCAAAAGTCCCAATCCAGCAATCACTGGTACAGAAAGTCGCTGCTCGGTGAAAGCGCCATGCGCAACAGCCCGTCCAAGTCGCCGTTTGAGTACCGCACCGATCGCGACGTCACACCCTCGCGCATACCACTACCGGAGTCGCCCTACAAGCAGACACCGCGCACCAGCCCAGAACCCATTCCCGAAGAGGAGCAGAGATACATGTCGACCAACATCGCGTCGCGACTACAGAGCCCGGAGGAAGAGCCGCAAGTGAGCGCGGGCGCATTGGCGGGGACCGAGTCAACGCTGTCGCAACATGACGACGGAGGGCCAGTCGAGGGCTGTAAGTAGTGAGACCCAATGCGCGCTGTGTATACTGACAGCCATAGTCATGCGCTTTGCGTACAGAGGAGAAGCTAAGTTCCGCACAGCGCCCATCGAAGATACAATCACCACTTTTGCGAGTGGCCTCCATATCTTTACGAGGTCAAGAGCCAACCTCATCTTTACTGTCGCGACTCTTTTAATGTCTTACCTATTACTGCATCCCTGGCAAGCCAGTCTCATTCCTGATGTCGCAAACGTCGCCAGCATGGCGAAACAGTTCGAGCCTTTGCTATACGCTTCAGAGAGTGTCATTCCACGGTCGCGCGAGCTCGCAGACGCCAGTATCGCCGTGCAAGACCTGGGAGAGAGCGTCCGTGCGACTAACATGTCTGCGTCGCCTGTTATCATCGATCAGCTAGACGACCTGGGCGATAGTCTCAGGATCCTATCCGAGAAGATTACTAGCTTCTTTACCAACGTAGATGGCGACATGGACTCGTAGGTATAGCCTTCTTGACCTCGTACACCTACTGATAACTGTAGCATCCTCATTACTATGGAGTGGGCCAAGCGAGAGTTAGCAAGTATTCAGGGCCCAAAGGTTGGCATGATTGATACAGTCATCGACAATGTCCACGGCGGCCTCAACGCGATTGGCCTGCTTGAGCGGAACGGCGAAGCTACAGCCGTCGGCCGTGTCGTCAACGATATCCTTGGACACACTACACAGCAGCGGTCGAAAGCTACCCTGCAGCGCACGTTCGACTACCTCCTGACCACTCTAGAAGAGAACATTGCAAATGAGCTCGCGCGCGCAGACGTCCTCTTCCAACTCTTTGAGAGTGTAGACCGCCAATTCCACAACCTCCACCGCTCCGTCGCCAAAGAAGAAGACTCGCTCGCAAACCGCAAAGACGAGTTCCTCGCTTCCATGTGGCGCACCTCCATCAACAACAAGATGAAGATCAAAAAGTACGAGAAGAACCTCAAGCTACTCAAAGACGTGCGCGCGTCAACCCTCATCAACAAATCCGAGCTCAAAGTGCACATTCAAATTATCCATTCCGTCAGAGACCAGCTAGACAAAGCACGCAAGAACCTCATTAGCCCTCTGATCCGTGCGGCGCAGAGCAACAGCTTCGGTTTGGACCAGCAATTGAACGACCTGACGGGTACATATGGGTTCCTGAAAACGCTGAGAGACGACCAGAAGAAGAAGGTTCGACAGCAAATGTGGGGCGAGCCCAAGAAGCGCATTGCCATTACTGCTGGTGGGAAAGAAGAGGAGATTGAGGGAAACAGCGAATAATTTGCTCACCTCTAGTCTTTCTCTCTTTCTTCCTCCTTTTTGAATACTGTTTTCCGGCGTTCAAATGCATAGCTAACCTCTCTTGCCTGGCTACTACAACTGCTTCTTTCTTGATCGTTCTAGCATGGCGACTTGGTTAGATAAAGGAGCGGTGTCTTGCTTATACTTATCGCGGCGTCTGAATGATAAGATATGTACCATGGCGTATTGGACATATCATATGTATGGCATTTTTGCCTTGGAGCTTTTGGAGGGAACATGGATGGGATGAATGGAGGCGTTTGTGTTATCAACAGCTTTGTACAAGCATTACCACTACCACATACTGATATCAATCTAAACATAAATATTACTATGCTTGCGCCGTTGTCGTCAACGACATCTAGAGTTTGGTACGCTAGAGCTCTGTACAGTGGCTTGCATATTGCTACCGGTGCGGACTTGTTCCGCTTGTCTTACAGTACCTAGGTACCTAACGAACGTCAGCCGCCCCTTGCTGATTAGTACACAGTATGCTTAGGCAGCCAGACTACACTTCAACATATATGTTGTATAGCTACCCCACTACATTGCGGCACAGTTATCGCAGGGCCTCGACTTGAATCATTCCACAGAAACTACACTGCACGTTGCATAACTCAAGACTACATCTCCCTTTCCATCACCTTTTCTCTGGGCTCCATTCAAAGAAACTCAAATTCTACCACGATACGCTGCAAATCCAGCCGAGATGCCCAGGCGTTCCCATCGCTCCAAACCCGTTCCCTCCCCTACAGCCTTAGACCCTCCTCCCCGAGGAACCCAACCCCTCATCCGCCCAGGGCCCTCCGCAGTAACCTTCCACATCCCCGTCTCCCCTCCCTCCTCCACTCAATCCGCGTCCAAAACCACAATCTCCCTGCCCCGCCACTCAAAATGGACATCAGGCCTCCACTTCCACACCCTTCACACAGAATACTTACACCTCGTCCGCGGCTCCATCTTCGTGTACCTAGACGGCAAAACTACCATCCTGAGTGCGGCAGCTGGTGGTGAGGTATGCGTTTACGGCAATTACAAGACTGAACCCGGACTGGTTATCCAGATCCCCAAGTACGCACGACATAACTGGGGTAGAGCGAGAGAGTATCTGGCGAAACACAGACCATCTTGTGTTACACCACGCTTTCCGGCTGATATCGACGACGAGGTTGTGGTGGAGGAATGGACACATCCGGCGGATGGGGGGAAAGCGCTTTTCTTCTGGAATTTGAATGGGGTTATTCAGGCACCATCTACCGCGACGCTTCCTCCGCTTCAGCATTTTGCGCGATGGGTGTTGGGGCGTTGGTGGGTAGAGTTTCAGCTGTGGAATGTGTTTTGGGAGTTGGATAATTGGCCTGTGGTGCTGGGATTGAGGAATATGTTGGGGGCGGAATGGTATGGGTGGCCGTTGCCAGAAGGGGTTTATCTGAGGGTTAGACATGTGTGGTCTGGGGTGCTGTGGGTTGGGCGGTGGAAGAGGAAGGTGGAGGGGTGGTTGGAGTGGCTTATTGTACTGGTTTTGTTAGGATTGGCGAGGGGCATTGGATGGGTAGTAGGTATTAGTGCTGTGGAGAAGGAGAGGACGCCAGTGGCATTGTGGGAAGAGTATCAGAGAAAGGGACGTAGCGGCTGACTATTGTAAACATGTTTTGAAATCTGGATATGTCCTACCAACGCCGCTCCAATCGTGTGTGAAGTATGCAGGCCATAACGCTCCGTACTCGTATTCATACCCATCCGTACCTGACGTCTCTTTCTTAACCAAAACGACCATATTCCAAGTCTTCCCCTCCACTCCACATCTCTAGATGAGATGCTTGCTTCTGAAGTAGGCGCGGAGGTACACAACCTGCCAAGCCCCAAGTCCAACCAACATACCCATCGTGCCCAGCGCAAACCACTTGACCCGCTCATTGGTGCTCTCATTGGTATCACGCAGCTTCTGCTCCCGGCTCCTCAGGTAATCCATCTCGGTGACAATCTCGCCAACCGTCTCCTCGATCCGCCTGAGTTCCGCTTCTACAGGCTTCAGCTTGTCGACGGCTTGGATGGCGTTCCAATCCTTGGCGTCGGCGCCAATGTCGATGTCGAGCTCGACGTGGCGGGGTGCGATGTTCTTGGACGAGCCGGACGAGGTGAAGATGTTCTCGAAACATACGTCGAAGGCTGAGTCGGCGTGCGAGGTGAAGGCGTAGCGGTTCTCGCCCACTACGTCTTTGGGGCGGTGGTAGTCGTTGCCCATTGCGTCGCGGATCTGTTTGTCGTTGTCAGTAACGTCTTCACACAGTATAATGCTCGCATGATGCTAGGTTTGTTGACATGGCGCTGGAATTGCAACGTACATGCATATCCACTCTCTGTCCATCTCCACGGTATCCGTCCAGAATCGCCGTCACAACCACCAACTGGTCCTTGGCAACAAAGTTCCTAACGCATCGCTCGTACTTGGCCGAGTCGTGTGGTGCGACCGGGTGGAGGTCGAATTTCAGGGCCGCGGCGAGGGGGAGGATTGCCAGCAGCACGCAGCTGAGAAGACGTGCTAACCGGTCCATGCTGGATTGGGGATGTGTGGAGAGCTGCAGCGCTTGCGGACTCGAGTTGGTGCCCTCTTGGTGGCTCCGCGAAATGTACAGCTGTCGCAAGACCGCGCGGAAGGACAGATGGTCCGACTGTAAGCTAGCGCGGAGTGGGGAAGGCGCGTGCGGACCCTGAACCAGAACAGCGACTGGGAGGAGCGTGTCTTGCCATCACTCTTCCAGCTTCAATATGTTAAGACGACCACATATTCGCGCTAACTTGACAGAAGTCTGATGATACAGTTTTAGAAAGCTTATCGAAACTAGACTATCTCGTAACGGCGTTAACCCATACCAACGCCAACCTGTCGCTGAGAACGCTCAAAAGACACATCCTACAGTACGACAACAGCCTTCTCACCAAGCGGTAGTACCGCCGTCCAACTTCAGATCATGCCCAGTCATGTAGCTGCTCGCCTTGCTCAACATGAACAGTCCCGCGGCCTTGTACTCTTCAGGAGTGCTGAGCCTGCCCAACATGCTGTTGTTCTCCCATTCCTCGCGGGATGCCTCGCCCTTGTCGAAGTTGGCTAGCACCATCGGCGTGACGATATGACCTGGGCTCAAAGAGTTCACTCGGATACCCCCTGAACCATCTGGATTCTTTCGCCCCCACTCCATGGCCAAGTTTCGTGCCAGCTGCACCACGGCCGCCTTGGACGAGTTGTAAACGGGCGCGATGAAGCCTCGGTTGGCAATGGTGCCACTCATGCTTGCGACCAGGCAGATCGAGCCCTGAATCTTGTATTCCATCATCTGACGGGCGCATTCTCGGGCTGCTAGGAACACGCCGGTATAGTTGACGTCGAGCATCTTTGCGATGTCTTCCTTCTTGAAGTCGATCGCGGGTGTGACTTGCTGGATGCCGGCAGCTGGAGAAGGGATGGTTAGCATTGGAGTTCCGAAGTATTTGAAGAATTCCGTACCTGCAATGAGGCCGTCAAGCCTTTGGTGTTCCGAGGCAATGTCGCCAATGCACTTTCGCATCGCCTGCTCGTCTGTAACGTCCACCCTATGGTACTGCAGACCTGCACCGATGTTGCTCTTGAGACGGCCCTGAGCCTCTTGGAATGCTTGAGGGGGCTCTGGTAACCGGTCGAGACAATGCACCTTGCCACCAGCCTCTACGAGCCCTTCGGCCATGCATAGTCCCAATCCACGACCTCCACCTGTTGATACGTTAACACGGGTTACAAAGGCATATTGTCTGCTCTGGAGATGGGAGGAGGACGGCATGCTGCACCTGTAACCACGAAAACTTTTCCATCGAGGTCGAATTGGCTAAACCGCTTCTCTCCAACGGTCTCATGTTTTTCGTATGGAACTTGGGGATAGGTTGCGTCTTGGTGTGATGCGAGCCCTCGACGCTGAAGAGGGGTCGTGCAAGGCTGAAGTCGAAACGCAGGTGGCGCTGGGCGCGCGAAACGTCGAAGCAACGCTCTCGAGGAACGCAAAGCTGCCATGGCTGATGTTGTGTGTTTGCAGGTTGATAGTTGAAAGTAAGAAGACAAGACGAGAGGAAACACAATGTTGAGCGACAAGCCAGGGCGCTCCTGTGCTGACATGTATATGTCACACAGGCATGATGTAATTGCAGCTCATACGCGTACCTCCCCTTCCTTCACCTTGGCTGACCGACAAAGCATCGTGACTTCCGCGGCGACCCAGCCGCACGATTCGTTGAGACCCTAGATGAACGCCGCTACGAATGAGCAGGGCAAAAGCTTGTTACTAAGCGCGTGACGGAAACACGGCATAAGATTTGGTAACGATTAGCTTACTGGGCTTGCCACACAGACGGACGAGCATCAATCTCACGATGTTGGCACCTGCAGGCACGGCTGGCATGCGTGGTCTGAGTGGGTCGCGCCTGCTCCCAACCGGTATCCGGAATGCGGGGCTGTGGAGACACAGGGCTGGGTGGTAGTTGTGGTGATTGGTCGCGGATAGTGTCGCCAACACGCCAGAGGTACATCATTCTGAGCAAACATGGGAATTCTGTGCTTGATGCGTTATCTAAGATGGAGAAGTTCTCATTTTTCCATGATAAGAGTCTGACCGCGCAGCATGCACGGTCGTGGTAGCGGCTGCTGTGGAGAAAATGATCCGCTTTGCCATGGGATTCACGTCAGGCTTTCGCGTGTTCCTTGCATTGCAGGATTCATTTTTCACGATAGAATGGCCTGGACACCTCGAGAAGCGATCACATCGTGATTTGGTTGACCGGGCTTACTCAGTTGAGAAGCACACGTACTTGCACAATGCAACACAACGCGCTACACAAATCATACCGTTGCTATCTAAGCAAGCTTGACCTGAACCTACGGGTTGCTAGATACATGAGTATGACGGTGTAATCATGAATGGTTGGAGGCAAAACGCGCCATTTTTGCGCAATCCGCAAAGCTTTTAATCAAATATTGCAATATTTCTAGGCAGTGATAAAGCTTTTAACTATGAGGCACGAACGCTTTCTGCATCCGTTACATGCGGCGTGTGTGCAAATACTCATTGCATCTATTCTGGCAGATTAGTGTTTGCGGACCAAGTGACAGTTCCAAGAACTTCTCTAGTCGAGATGGCTATTCTCTCGTTACACCCATCTTTCTGCCGCTTATCTTATGGTTAATACCACGATGTGATTCTACACACTCTGATGTTTTGTCTGAGCAAATTTCCATTTTTTTGGAGGGATGAGAACCTCTTTGGATCCTAGGAGGCCGATCAAATGCCACGGAACCTGAATCGATGCTCATGATACTGTACATGCTTTTACGGCGCACAGTTGGTCTTGAAATTGTAAACTTTCTCGCATGCTGTGCTTCAGTGTTGCACTTTCTTATGATTTCATATTGCTGCTACCCCATGACTGTTCTCAAGTGCGATCACTAAATTGACAACGCAGGCTCTAGACATCCAGATCATGAATGCGGTGTTGAGGCTCTATATCGAGTGCATCGGAAAGTTTCTTGGGGTCCTAAGTGTGTCGAGCAAAAACGAGTCGCGGTGGAAACATGAAAATGCAATATCCAATATTCTTGGGTCAAATCCGAGGGGCAAGATAGTGAGACTAGTGGACTAAGGTGGGGTAGATGCAGCATGTCTCGCTTCGGAACGCTAATGCGCCAATTCTCGGCGCAGCCCCTTTATTCCAAAACCCGCAATATAAATGCACCAAAATCACAACCTTCCATCAAACATCTCTTCAAGAGATCCATCGGCCTGATGGTCTAGTGGTATGATTCCTGCTTTGGGAAATCACGTGACCGTGATAAGCCTATTCTGCAGGAGGCCCCGGGTGTAAGTTCACCCATTAAGATTCGAAACCGAACGCAAACTAATAGCGTCTAGTCGAATCCCGGTCAGGCCCCAACTCCTTTTTTTGCAGCATTCTACGCATGAGGAGATCAGGTATGAGTTGCGTGTGTGACTCACATCTTTCTGTTTTATTTTATTTTACTTTTTCATTTTCTAATTGCGCTGGTCTGGGAACGCCAAATGGAGCGGTTGAGCAACACGTTATATTATCGCAACGCAAACACACTGTAATAACTGTACGCAGCTGTATACCTTTATTCTTCGCGGATTCAATATCAACTAAGAAAGGATTAAGGAAAGCACACATACGAGTGGGTTACATGTGACGTTTGATCGCTGTGGCTATTGTCGCAGCCTGGCTGCCGCGCAGAAGAGCAATAAGTTCACGAAGTTACTTTACCAATACCTACTTGTCACCAACTTCAACCCCTCATCTCCAAATTCGCGAATACCCCTCTCCTCCACCCGCGTCCTCGTGCGGAACGTCTTCTCAGTCTCTCCAGTCTTCAGATTCACCCCCTCATGTTCATACTGTTCTCTCTTAATCAAACAACCCTCTATCGCCCACTTCGGCACCGCTTCCTCAAACCTAACGCTCTTCTCCTCTAGCATCATATTGACAAGATCCTTCGTCTTCTTCCCGTTCATCTCCTTAGTCGAATACATAGTCCTCGCAAAAGCAGAAACAGAATTCCTCACAGCATCATTGCGACAGCGCCAAATAAGGTTATTCAGCGCCTCTGCTATGTCAGGCACAGGAAAGAACCTTGCATCAAAATGCGCCGTCCCCAGCACTTCTTCCACATCGCCCTTGACCTCCGGCTCAGGCATGGCCTTCAGAGCATCAGTGAGATGCTTGTTGAATCTCACGGAGCAGTAGCTAGCACTTAGACTGCATAGCTTTTGTACTCGCTCATTGAAACTCTGCACGCCTTCTGGGAAGACTAGGGTGATTTCGTCGGATTGCGTGTATGCGACTGTGGCTCGGGGGAAGAAATGGAGGAGATCGGCGCAGGTTGATATCATTGCGGTGTGTATGCGCTCGTCGAATGGACGCGCGAAATGGGAGGTAAAGCGTGAGAAGCCATGGCCGTCCAGACGAAGGATGATGGGTTTGTCTAGAGGAAGGATTTGGTCGAATTGTGCTTCGTACGATTTCATGCGCGCTGCGAGTGATAAGGGCTTATCGGTGCGCGGTGCTGGCGGTGTCTCGACGTCGTTGTGGTCTGACATGGTTTCGGTATTGGTGTTGAGAATCTTGTAGGTTGACTGTGTTGGCTGTTGAGATGTAAGACTACAACTGCCTTCACCCTAATGTTAACGATGACTCATCAGCCTCACGTGTTTTCACTTCAGTTGCTTGATCAGGGTCGTTATGGTGGTCACGTCACGATTAAGGACGGATTGGAGGGTATTTCTGAAGTGGCATTATCCCCCGCAGTATTATGTACATCATAAAAGCTTCATGCTCAGCCATCCCAATAATTATTCCCAGCTTAAGGCAAACACGAAAGGATCGGCTTGAGCTTGTTGATGATCTCAGTCTGAACCGCAGCATCGTTCATAGTCGTCTTGTCGTTTGCATCGCCAGGGCTAATGGTAACGTAGCAATCGCTTCCTCGGATCAAGATGACATCCGCCTCCCACGGCAGGCGCGTGCTACCGCACCATTCTGCATCGCGAGCGCTCAGGAGACCGGTGTTGATGCGAGTAAAGATGTACTTGAACTGGCTGGGGTCGCTGCACTTGGTCTTGGATACAGCGGGGAAGTTGACATTCAGGAAGGAGTTCGCTGGGAGGTATGGCTTTCCAGAATTGATGATAGTCGTGGTAACGTTCAAAGCGAGATCAGCATAGACCTTGCTGTGGAAAGGAGTAGGTGCGTTCCATGCAGTAGGATCTCCTGTCACGCCAGAGAAGGCGATGGCTGGGATCTGGGCCGTCTTTGCCGCGAATGCAGCGGCGCCGACTGTGCCGGAGAAGGGAACCTGAACAGCAACATTGCTGCCGACGTTCGGTCCGGTCAAGGCGAGTTCAGGCTTTGCGCCGTTCCAGAGCTTGGGAGCAGTGACATCGATTCCCTCCTTGATCGAGGTGACCGGGAAAGAGTTGACGTAGTTTAGGCGAGGGTCTGTCGCGTTTGCGCCGGTTGGCGGGCTTCCTCCTGGGCAGGACGCATGAATGCAACCGTCTGAATCAACGGTTTTCGGGGGTGCGTCGGAGGATCCTGATATAAGTCAGCATGTGTATATGGCCATGACTCAACCACTAACCTCTGCCAGACTGGTTCTCAGCGGGACCAGACAGTACGACTTCATGACCAGCAGAGTTCAAGACATCGAAGAAGGTGCGAAGGTTTGCCTCTGACCAACCATCGTCGTTTGACTGAACGATGCGAACGGCTTGAGCGAAAGGAACTGCCGCAGCGAGTAGTAGGAAGGATCGCATTTTGAGTAACGAATGGAAGACGATGAAGCGAATGTGTTTGACCGAGCGACCTGAGACCTATGCAAGTAAACAGCGCGCACCTGACGTTTATAACAACACCATCCCCCCGATCTATCCTTGAGCCAGCCACAGAGTCCCCAGTCTTGATCCACCGCTAATGTTCCAAGCATTATGCGAGCCGAACGGGCGAACAGAGGTCAGGAACACAGCCATGGCACACGCCGCAGTCTAGTCACAACGTGCGGGTAGCAGCGATCTGATTGCTCCTCGCATAAATGACCTTGGTCGTGACATGCTGCAAACATCGGCTTTGGGGCTGTGAGTGGTTGTTGACCTCCGAAACGGAGACATTTCCAAGCCTTTGGGGGTGTCGCCCCTAGCGCGTCGGCTGCAGCCACTCAAATGGGCAGGAGCGCCCGGTAGTCTTTCGCACGTGTGAGGAGCTCGAGGTGTCATTCACGGATTTTGATATGCAAGTAGTTTGGTTCATGATATGTCATATATCCGTCTATCGATTTTCAAGGAACCGTTCCTCACACTGACCATATGGATGTCATCCCGCGCATGTAATCAAACGGCCCGTTCCTCAAGAACTATGCTACCATTACTCAAACTATTGAGTCGTTCGGACCGCTGCGCATGGAGGTTCATGCGGCATGTCGACATGTGAAAGTATCCGGAACCCGTGGTATCAATCTCCTAATTCCCAGAACGCCTTATCCAAATGCTCTGTTTCTCTGTGCCTCGCCAGATCCTTAATACCTCCACCCTCGCTCATACTATATGCGCAGGCTTCACCGGCTGCTGATAGTAGTCGGTCGCAGCGCCGCCCTGGTATGGGGGAAGGTATTGGTTGTTCATCTCAGCAGGTTGCGTCTGCGAATGGTATGCGGTATTTTGGTATTCGGGTGCGCTGTTGTACGGAGATGATTGCTGAGCAGGTACGGAACCCCCGAATGGGTTGTGCGCGGGTGCGTACTGGCCTCGTTTGGCCTCTGCCTTCGCGCGACGATAACCGATGACCGAGTAGATGAAGAGACCGAAGTAGCTGAGGCTGCGATGTGTTAGTGCTGCAAACGATCGCCCTGGGACTCTGAACGTACAATACGAAGACGCCGAATCCAAGCCCGACATGGCTACCGCCCTTGCCGATATCCGCAAACTCCATGATCAAGGCGACGCCCCAGAACGCAGTCTGGAACGAGTTCATGGTGAGGAAAGTGCCGGGTTTCAGCGCATCGCGAAGGAAGAGCAGGATGGCGAGAATGTCGATGAGGAGTACTATACAGCTGAAGAGTATAATGACAATGAGCAATCTACTGGCTGTAAGCTTTGTGTATGCGCCGTTGATGGTGTGATTTACGAGACTGAGGGTTGGATAACGTCTTCCAGTTCTTTCACGTTGCTCAGCGAAATGCCTACTGCTCCAATGATCAAGAGCATGATACATATGCGCACTATCCAGAAGGGCACGAGAACGCGCTTCTGCCAAAATACCGGTCGTTGCGCCATGGTGAATCGGTGCCGCTGGAGGTTATCGCTGCTTGTCGGTGGCTAGGTGCGATGTTTGCGCAACAAAAAGAGGAAACCAGGATATAAATCTCAGTTTGCAGGGCTGAGCGCGAGATAGACCGATATTTCGGGAACTCGCGTTGACTGGGCTGTGATGCGTACGCTCAGGGGAACGCCTTGCGGCGCCGTGATGAAACACGCGTTCGGCCCTGTACATCTTCATCTCCCTCTTTTAGCAGCCGCGCCGTTTGGGGCCGGTGTCGCAGCATGGCCTCTTTGCGTAGGTAGTGATAGATGTGTTGGATGCGTGTTCAAAGTGTTTAAATTGGTGCGGTACAATGTTACTCGCTGCCCTGATGAAGAAGCAAAACGGCTGTCACGAGTTTCAGGGTCTGTGGAGATGGGCCGTTAGGCGATGCTCGTAGCCTCGTACGCGGTAATAGCGCGGTGGTCGCAGCGTTGTGGCTGAGGCAGTCAGGCAACGATAGACTCCAGTACCCGATCAACAGTCGTGAGTAACGTGTATCTGCATGCTGAGTTGTGCACAAGTCGGCCTGTCTCGCATGTACACCGGTGTAAGCATCATGCTTCGATGCACGTCGATCGAATGTGGAAGGTATGGAGGCGGGCACTTTCCGCGCCAGCCATCTGATCGGAGTGGGGCTGCCACGAGACCCATGCACGCGTTGCTCCCGCCCGATAAGCGCGATAACGAGCGACACCTTGATGGGCAGCCAGAGCTTCCCCAGATTACAACACATAGCTATCTCTTGATCGAGAGCTGTACGATAGTCCGCAAGTTCTGTCCCCATCTTCATCATGGGTAACAACCAGTCACGACCGTCCGATGCTGCTGTTAATGAGAAGTTGATGGAGCGACTCCAAGCACTCCACATGAAGGATGAACGACCCATGAACGAGAAGGATGGATTTGTCGTTGTTGGCGGAGAGGCTCGTACGTTACATGGCGTTTGGAATGGTATACCAAGTCTAACTGTCGAAGCACCTCGATACACCCCCGGCGTCAAGTACCGACAAGATGTATCTGCCGCCTCAGTGTCAGAGTGGGAGAAGGAGCTCATGGAAGACCCAAAGGTACTACACACAGCTCTTGTACCGTCTCTTACTTACCTCTGTAGAACCGCCTCGCTCTCGCAGCTCTTAGCTCCAACTCTGCCAACGCCGTACTTTCATCCCGATCCGCTGTCATCGCAGACACCCAGAAGTTCAACATCAAGATTCCCTTCGAGGGCTCGCCCGTCACAAACCAAGCCTCATCTGGAAGATGCTGGCTCTTCGCTTCCACCAACGTCTTCCGCGTCGCTATCATGAAGAAGTACAAGCTGTCCGAGTTCCAGCTGTCACAGGCATACCTCTTCTACTGGGACAAGATTGAGAAGGCAAATTACTTCCTCGAAAGCATACTGGATACAAAGAGTGAGGAGATTGACAGCCGGATCGTGCAGGCGCTGATGTCCAGCCCTGTCGGTGACGGCGGACAGTGGGATATGGTGGCCAACCTCGTGCAGAAGTATGGTCTGGTACCGCACTCGCTGTACCCAGACTCGTTCAACGCGTCCAACTCGTCCACCATGGACCGTCTGATCACCACCAAGTTGCGGGAGGATGCCGTCCGTCTACGTGCCATCGCATCCAGCAACGCATCGCCAGACGCGATCAAGGCGACTATTGCCGAAGAGAAGGAGAAGATGCTGCGTGAAATCCACCTAATCCTTACACTGATGCTAGGACCTCCCCCATGCTCTACCAAGCCGTTCACCTGGGAGTACTATGACAAGGACGGCAACTTCTGCACCGTCAAGACGCGACCCACCGCCTTTGCGAAAGAACTCTCCGACAACAAGACCGTCCGCGCGCTGTCTGGAACGGACGTGCACTCGCTCTTCTCGCTTGTAAACGACCCGCGCAACCCTTACAACCGTCTGCTCAGCGTGAAGCGACTCGGTAACGTCTGGAACGGCCGACCAGTGACGTATGTGAATGTCGACATGAAGACCATCAAAGATGCTTGCATTGCGATGCTGAAGAAAGGCATGCCCGTCTTCTTTGGTTCGGATGTAGGCAAGTACTCCGATTCCACCAAGGGAATTATGGACACCGATCTCTTCGAGTACGAGCTCGGCTTCAATATCAAGCTCGGCATGTCCAAGGCGGAGCGTCTGCAGACCGGTGAGAGCCAGATGACGCATGCTATGGTGCTGACGGCTGTACATGTTGTTGATGGCAAGCCCGTGCGCTGGAGGGTGGAGAACTCGTGGAGTGAGCGTGCAGGTGACAAGGGCTACTTTGTCATGAGCGATGCTTGGATGGATGAGTTTGTGTACCAGGCCGTCGTCGATCCCAGCGTTGTCAGCTCGACGATTAAGAAGGTGCTCGAGCAGAAGCCGAAGATGCTAGAGCTGTGGGACCCGATGGGCGCGTTGGCGTGAGTGTGATGTAGATTTGATGATACCTTTCATGAATTGATTGTTGCTGTGAGAGAAGCCAATAGATACAAGATTAAATGTGAATCTAGCGTAAAATAAAGTGCGCGTCTTTCGTTAATTATAGGATGCGCAGTGCGGGTAGACAAGTGTAGTAGCAATTTTAGGTAGGGACTTCACTAACGAGGTTTGCATCACTTTCAACCTAAGAGTGGCTAACTACTTCGTTTCTAATCGGTAAAAGTTTAGCAGGGTCTTAAGACTGCCTTCATGCGTGCAGCAACGGCTCCGTCTCATCATCATCACATCCATTGCTTTCCTTGCAATCCCGCATCACCTCCCATAGCAAGCCTGCCTGTACACCTGCGAACATCACATAACCAACGGCAGTCCAGCCCGCATAACGATACCATCCATTCCACCACCCCAAATACCCATTGTACCACTCCCACCGCGAAGGCATCTCGACGCTTAACCCCCAGGCCACACCCACCCCAGTAAATACCACCGCTTGCATCGCAAGCCCCAAACGGCTCAGCGCCTCCTCCTTCGCCTCGTCCCGATTCTCCTCCTCTTCTTCCTCTTCCCTTTCGGCACGAATCGCTCTCGCCTGCCAGAAAAACGACGCGATAACCAAACCGATGACAATCCAATTGATGCAGAGGATGTGCGCGCCATACCATGCCCAGGCGAACATGATGTGGTAAAACCAGTGTATATCCTTAGCGTAGAAGGCATCGACGAAGATGGGGAAGACTAGTAGGAAGAAATACGTTGCATAGGCTGTTATGGCGGAGCTTGTTGAGACGTCGCGGTAGGGGGAGGGGTAGTGGAGATGTAGGATTGAACTATCGTAAACGATGAGAGTCAGTGCTTGTGCTGTTTGAGCTGGAGAAATGGAAGGAATGCAACGGGTGCATACAGGGTAAGCCAATAGAGCAGTACAACAACGGTTTGTGTTAGATCGATCCAATTCCCCGTGGTTACGGGTTCGCGGTGAAAACCTTTGTCTTCTCGAATGGAATCTACAATATAGAAGAACGTGAAGGTGAATTGTTCGGTTGCTGAGATGAGGTTGAAAAGCAGGTAGTTTGTCGACATGCCTGAACTTTTCTTTCTGAAGATGGTACGGTGAAGTTGTGGTATGAAGGACGCCACGGTGAGAACCAAGAAGATACTGGATGGTGTTAGTACGATATAAAGAGTGTTGAGGAATCGAACGAACATGCGAAGCCAGACTGGTAACTCTAGAACCGGCATCTTGCAAGGATGGAATGCAATTTGTGGTATTGCAGCGGTATGGCGACTTGTGATTGTCTACCGCAACATATTGAGGAACTAGAGACTTCGTTATCGAAAAGATTCTCAAGCATCTTGCTTGTATACGAGTACAACGCTGATGCCTAGCACGTTTAAGATATTCAGGTATGCAACGCTGATCGCGGGGGCGGCACAGTGCATTAGCGCTGCGCACCCCCTTGCTTGCCAGCAAAACCTCCGAATACAGCCTCAACCCCAATCCTTCCACACTCATCACCGAAGAGTAGAATATGCCCCGACCAATCTACCTCATCGTCTTCAACTCCCCTCTCTTCCCCGCGCACTGGGGCTTCTGGATCCCGCACCTCTCGTTTACCGACCCTCAAACGGGAACGTATCTCAACGCAACCGGCGATGCAGCAACCGGCTTCAGCATAGAGTTCGAACGTAACCACGAACTTGGTGCTGATGGCCGGCGGCACCAACTCATCTCTTTGGGGGAAGTTGCGGACGAGCATGTTGTCGATGTAATGGGTGACGGGAAGTGGTCTGTTGATCAAGTTGCGAGAGATAGCCTTGAGGAGATCGTGTTGGGTGTAAAGCCGCCGGGGCCAAGTTTGGTTGCTGCGGGTAGCACGGTGAGTTTTGTAATGTGTCAGCTATTTATCGAATGGCTGATTGACTGGATGTGGTAGGTACCGAGAAAGAAGGTAGAGATAAGGAACTGTCAGAATTGGATACGCGATGCGGTTGCAGCGTTGGTGGAAGCAGGAATCATGGACGAAGAAGCGCTGGGGATTGTAAAGAACTCGCCGAAGAATTGAGGGAGAAAGGTCGTTGAAATCGTTTTCTACACCTTTGTTCGGCTTCCACTTTCCCCCATACTCAGCTCTCACCAAGAGCCTTTTCTCCTGATATGACCAGAGTGAGACGTATATTCTACACTCCTCTCCATCAACCTACCAAATCTTCGGCACAAACATCGGCGTCTCCCTCTTCCACTTCTGATAATCCTTGCGATCCCCATACCTCTTATCATACTTATTCTCACTCAACGGCACCCCACTAACCTTCAGCAGCAAGAAAGACACAAAAGCCGGACTAGCCGCACACATACCCGCAACAAGCACCTGTCCACCAATCCCCCCACTCAATCCCAACGCAGCCTGCGCGGGCTGCCTAACCAGCAACCCCGCCGCCGCAATCGCAATACCACTCCACAACGTCGCCTCGCCGAAGTAATTCGGATGCCGAGACTTACTCCACAGGCCGTGTGTGAGGAACTCTTCAGAGTGTTTCTTTTGCTTTTTGCCTTGGACCCAGGCGTCTTTTTGGCGGTCGGCCACGACCTCGAACGTCAGACCGAAGACGAAGATGGCGAGGCCGAGGACGTCTGTTAAGTAGGGTTTCGAGGATACGGCTTGCCCAAGGAGTGAGGTCGCGTAGGCGGAGCGTGGAACGGAGTTTACTAGAATGACGGGTAAGGTGCAGAGGGAGACCCATGTTGCTTGGGCGAAGAAGGCGACGAGGAATTTGGGTGGGGAGGTCCGGATGGAGTCGAAACGAGAGTCTTTCCCTTCGTCGCTGGATATACGTTTGTAGAGATAAGAACCCACTGTTTCATCAGCATTAGCACCTCAACTCTCTTTCAACCCAGCCATTTAGGATGCAACGTACATCTCGTAGCCCAAATCCCCACGGCAGCACTCAAAAGCGCTTGTCTCCACCACCACGTGCCCTGTCCCAGGCCCTGGGCGCTGAAATACTCGGTTATACCGCCGGTGATGGTGCCTGCGGCTCTTGCGCGCATGTATGGGAGTACTAGGCTGAGGGCTGTGCAGGAGAGGTATGTGAAGCTGCCGGAGAGGTCATAGTACCGTTCTGTTTGTGCTGCAATGGAAGGTACGGCTACGGCAGCTTGGATACCGTATGCGAGTGCGACAGAAGGGACGAGGGTACGTAGAAGAGGATTCTTGAACGCTGTTGCGCGGAGGAGGGTTTGCAGGAGCGTCATGTTGTTGCAAAGCTTCGAAATCAGAAATGCGGTTGAGGAAACTTCGGCGCACCCCAACATATATCCTCAAATCGGAAGACGGAGGATCTTCAGGTACTCTTTATGCACTTCGCTGTTCTACCCAACAAACACAGTCATCGGCGGTTCATCCGGCGCATACCGTTGTTGCAAAGCGCCTGGCGATCTAGACTCGTAGTCAGGATCGATGCCGTCATTCCTCGCTTACCTCCACTTGTGACTGGGGTCCGACGGTAAGCTTCCGGATAGCGCGCAGGAGCTCGGAGGGTTCGGACGCCGGCGGGCGTCGCATTCAGGATACGAGATCTTGCTTACGTGCATAAGGATGCGTGTTGACGTACTGCATCGTAGTCTAGAATGTGTGCGAAGGTTGGAATATTTCAATAGTGCAGGTATGATGGCAAAGATGTGAGCCCGAAGGCGTAACGATACATTCGCCCGCTCCAAAACACCATGCAAGCCGCGTACCTAGCCCAGCACCCAGCCATGCAATCCCAACACCAACTCAATCCTCATAGACGCGTCATTGCAAAACTCTCCAATACACAAATCCTAGTAACACAACAGCAAACACCAGCAACACAGCGATACAATTGACACTACACGACAAACCCGAGAAGATGCCGACTCCCACTCTTCCGAAGACTCTATCTCCTGAACGCGGCTTCGACCTCCTTAGTACCCCAATCAATCTCCACTTCCCCACTATATACATCTTGGTTGATAGTCGTCATGCGCTCTGAAACCTTGTTGTATGTCTTCTCGCATTCCTTGAGGACCTTGAAGACGAGGTCGCGGCTGATAGTCGGGTCGTCGGCGTCGCCAAAGTGCTTGTCGACGCGTTTCTTGAGGGCTTCGATGCCTTTGCGAAGTTCCTTGGCGTCGTGGGAGTGGACTAGTTTCTTGAAGACGGAGCGTGAGTGGGAGGAGCGTTGAGCTATGGCTTGGGCGCTTGCGCCGGGTTGGGAGAGGAGGGTTTCGGTTGATTCGATGAATTCCTGGATCATGTTAGACGCAGTAGTATGAGACGAAGAGGTGTACTTACCAGAAGCTTGCCCAGTGGTCTCCGGATGACGGCGTCAACGTAGAGGCTCATGTGCTCGCTGTACTCATCTTGAGCCTTGCCCTTCCAGAATTCTAGGACAGTGACCGAGCGAGCATCAACCTCTTCCATGTAGTGGTTCATGTTCTCAATGAGCAGGATATGGTAGTTGAGCGCCTCCTTATCTTCGGGATCACCCTGTCCTTGTGAGGCCATGACGGTGGGCGACTCCTTGGCGATGACCTTTAAGCTCTCGAACATAGCCTTGTTGATCCTTTGGTACGCTTCGTCGACCATGTCGCGGATTTCCAACTTATCTCCGCCTCCTGAAGCAGGCGGCAACATGTTCTCGATCGCGACAGAGAAGTGTGGGAAGGTCTTCATGAATGAGATGACGCCCTTGCGCTTCTTGATCTTGACCTTCGTATCTTCAATGGCCCGTATCTGCTCGTCCAAGAAGCGGCTGAACAGCCCTTGCAAACGTTCATGTATCTTTCGCAGGTTCCTTGTCAAGAAGTCCTGGTCCGTCTCTGCGATATCGAGCAACTTCCGGTCGACAGCACAAAGAATGCCTACACCTTGCCTAGGAAGAGTCAGTGAGCGAGCAACGTATAACGTAAATATGACTTACAGAGGATCAGCTTTGGTGGCCCAGTCCACAAGGCTCTGAATCTCAGAGGGCCAGAAAGAAAAGATCTCCTCCATGACACCAGTGACATGTTTTGCCATGGCTCGGTCCGCTTCGAACTGCTTGCGGATCCAGAGGTTGGGGCCACGACGCGCTTCGGGGGGCGCGGCTTGCACGGCCTCGGGGAAGTCAAGCGAGTCAGTTGAAGTAGCATGGAAGAATTCAGTAATGAAGTTTTGCTCCGTCAAAAGAACCGGACCGGTGTCTTCTAGGATCCTAGCGAAGACGTTGAATGCGTGGAATTTACCATCTTGAGCCGCTGGCTTTGCCTTGCCGTCTTTGTCTCCAGACGCTGATCTCAGGCCACGAGCTAGGGTCTGACTTCGCTTAACGGTCAGCTTCCTTGCCGTACCTAATGTGGAGGTAGTTTCCGGCTCTTTCTCCTGTGCGGTAAAGAGCAGTTCTTGCTCCTCGCCAGTGGGCTTTCTTGCGAACCGTCTCCATGCCAGAATATTGTCGCGAACCTCTTGTTGATACACCTGCGCTGCTTGAGTCTGATACATGCGTAACAGTGAGTCCCATGCTGCCCTGTCAATTTCTTTCGCGAACAGCATGATTGGGCTCAACATCCACAACTCGTTTCGGCCAGCATCATGCGCTTCTACATTCCTCTTCAGAGATGGCTCAGATCCCTGATCATCGAGTCTTGAAAGTGCATCTTTCGTCGATAGGAAGGCTGCGCCGAATGTGATTTCCATATGTTTCTTGAGCCTCTCGAGGAACATGGATCCCTCATTGAGATACCTGTCTCGTTTCTCTTGCAGAGCTTGCATCGTTGCCAAATCGCTATTACCAAATCCTGGTCCACTGCTGATCGTGCCTTGTCGAGCTCCGGCGACGAAAGATGGGTCGATTGTAATGAGTGCCTTGTAGAGCAGAACCAAAGAAAACTCAATATCCTTGAGTCCATTGATCTTGCCTATAGGAGCGCGTCTCAATGACTCCAGCTGATCTGATGTGATCGAGATAGTGTCGACTAGCTGTTGAAGTTCGTGCTGCAGTAGCCGCTGGTTCGCAGTCTGCACTTGCAAACCCTGACTCTGTGCTTCGATGAAAGCGATATCATCGTTCAAGCTGCTCAGCTCAACGTTGTATAGGGTTAACAGCCCCTCAAGCTCGTCGCACTCAGCGATCGCGCGGTCCAACATGCGCTCGACAGCCTCTACGCGATCGTCCTTCTGCTCCAGGTGATTTAGCCAGCTCCCTGCCTCCACGCGGGCGATTTCGCGTTTGATGTCATTCTCCAGAGACTCGATGTGCTTGGCGGACAGCTCGTTGTTTCCCCATCCCAGCTCAGTCAGTAGACTCTCAAATTCCAATCCCCGTTCGTCAATGATGTTCGGATCTATACCAAGCTTGGATATGTTGACAATCTGTTGGTTAGACCGGCGCTTCTTTCGTCGCACCTCCGGCTCAGGCTCAATGTTCCTTGACGCTGCTTTTTCTGGAGGTGGCGGAGCAGGCTGTTCCTCAACTTCTTGGACAGCGCCAGCCACAGTGCGATCGCCTGGGCCAGAGACTGTAACAGACGGAACGACCTCGGTACTAACGCGCAGTCGCTCTTTAGATGACCTGTCTGGTATGGGTTTGGAGGGCTCTTCGAGTGTCTTCTCGACTTCTTCTTGAGGTGTTTCTTTTGGTGTTTCTTTTGGTGTTGGCCGCTGGGGCACAAACACTGCGCTGACGCCGTCTGCTTCATCGGTTGTTTTCGTCTCCTTGTTGAAGAGCTTTGCAGCAGCTCCGCCAGCACGAGGCTTGAATGCGCCTGCCGCCGCTGCTGCCTTGCGGAACTTGGTCGCCGCATTATCGTTAAGCAGCGGCTTCTTAACCATCGGCCCAAGGCCAGGGCGTTCTTGATCCTCAGGCATTGAATTGGTGCGTTCTAGTGGTTCTGGCTCAGGCGCTGTTGGTGGTGTTGCAGGTGCCGCTACTTCCTCAGCTTGTGGTGCTGCTGGTATTGGCGCAGTCGGAATTTGTGGAAGGGGTGATGTGGGAGGAGGCGTAGGCTGTGGTGGTCGAGAAGGCAGTGGGTCTGCGGGAGGCGCGATGTTTTCCTGAGAAACGGGCTTCAGTCTCTCGGGTATCTCCTGAGGTCGTCTCCGCGGCGGTACTTCCAGTGGTGGAGCTGGCGAGCCTGAAGGCGTATGGAATGTTGAGCGTGGCTCTGCGCCTTGGCTATCGACACTCCGTTGTGACATCTGTGATGGACGGGGCTCCATGAGTGGCCTTCTCCTTTGGGGCGGTTCTTCTGGCGGCATGTCGTCGTTTCGTGTGAAGTTTGAACTGGTGTTGCTCTGAGCCGTACCCGGTCGACCAGCGCTTTGGGCTGTTCCAGGCCTGAGACCCCTGGGCGACGGATCTCTCCTAGGCGAGGGGTACCCGTTCTGTCTGCGTGGATCTGGTGGCGCAATACCTGGAGGCGCGCCGTCCAATGATGGTTCGTCAAGGGATCGTTCCGACCGTTGCGATTGCGCATCCTCACGTGGCGGCCCGCGCCCTGGACTCAAGCTTGCTGGGAAGTTGCCTGAATCCGGTGTCCGTGGCCGACCAGCGAATTCAGAATTTGAAGATTGTGGTGTTAGATTGCGAGACGCGAATTGAGGTGGAATAGGGCTTTGTCCCTGGCCAGGACGAGGCCGCATGCTATCACCGCTAGGCCGAGAACGAATGCTTGGGTCCATTGACCGCTTTTGGCGAAGGTCGGGCATAGATGGCGCGACCGAAACTGAATTCGGCATAAATGGGGGAGGTCTACGGGCGTCATCCCCAGTACTCGGTCTACCCAAGTCGTCTGGTCGTCCTGGTCTTCTAGGCGGCCCCCCTAGCTCTCCAGGAGGTCTCCGGAAGTTTGGATTTGGGCCAGGTGGAAGCGCTCTCCCGTCAGATATAGGCGGAGATTCGCCAGGTCTTCTCGGTGGTGGTCCAGGTGACTTTGGAGGCATTGGTCTTTGATCTGGTGGCCCGGGTCGCTTCTGGGACGGACTTTGACCACCCTGACCACTGGCTGCGGCAGCTCGGCCTTCTGGTGTCGCGAGATGCGGCTGTCCATTGGTCAGACTGTTCAGCTCTGTCACGCTGAATCCTGTCAGGATAGGAAAGTCTCCTTTAGTGTACTTGTTGTAGATCTTAACCATACTTCCAATAAAGAACTCCTTCTCCTTTGCCGTGCCCGCTTCCCAGTAGTAAGGTTTGCCTATGGTCACAGTGAAGCCCTTTTCCCCGGCCCATAGCTTTCGCTGAGCCTCCTCTTCG